AGCATGCATGAAACCATCATCTCTCTCCCCCACTTGCAGCTGCCACTGGTCTGCAGAGCCAGAAAGGTTGGGGACCGCTGCCTTATAGTACTTCCAAATATAACATTTTCCACAGGACTCCAATTAATCCATAAATAATAACTAACTGCATATTTAGAAAGAGTTAAAGATATGAACTGGCATGGCCACTTTTTTCAAAGATACTTACAGTAAGATTATCTCTAAGTAGCTGCATAATCAGGGTGCTATCTTTGTAAGATTCTTCATTCAGTGTGTCCAGTTCAGCTATTGCTTCATCAAATGCCTAAAACAAATGCAAGTATTATTTGACTGGTTTTTTCTGCCATTTCCAACTAAGAAACACGATTCACTTTAAAGTCTAATTAGAACTAGCTAAATGGGAAATACTACTTACAAGGTTGAAATTGGGCTCTGGGGAACAGCTGGGTTTATCAATGCTATAATGGCTTTTCTGCTCTACCTCCCTGCCTAAGCTGTTGAACTCCAATGAGGAGTTGGTAATAGTGGACCTAAGATGCTGCTTTGGTGTGACAAGGTTAGGTGCAGCTTAAGAGTTAGTTCAAGGCCAGTATAGAGGTAGTTTCCCTTTCTCCATGACCAATTCCAGTCAAAGCTGACAGAGAGCCAGCTGAAAGATCTTGATAATCAGGATGCTTCAGAGTTGAACACTCTTACCTATCCTGTTTTAACATCTACATGGAACTGCTGGGTGAGGTCATCTATTGATAATGGGCTCAGGTATAGCTTGACCCAGGATTATCAGGATTACTGCCTAGGTCTTATACCAGCAGTTGGAGGCTATATGGGTCTGAATGAAGAGGAACAGGTTTAAACTCAGCCAGGACAAGCTGAATGACTATGAGTATATAATTTCCTCCCACTAGAATTCTGCATTATTTGTTCGGAATAGGATAGCATTTCCCCAACAGAACCAGTTTGTGATTTGTAAGTTCCTTCTGGATTCAGAGTTACTGCTTGAAGAGCAGGTGAACAGCTGTGGTGAGGCAGGCCTTCACAGATTCCTCTGGTATACCAAATGTACCCTTTCCTGTAGAAATCTCCCTTTTATAGTCATGCATGCATGGGTCACTTTGTATATGAATTTCAATGCATTCTATTTGGGACTGCCCTAAAAAACCACTTGGAAGATTCAGGTAGCCCATGAAAAGGTGGTTCAAACTGTTATGAACATACTTTAATATGTCTTATAAGCCCTTTACAGCAATGGGCTTGGCTATCATAGGGAACACTTCTTTCTCATTTCTGTCTTTCTATAAGATCTGACACAATAGGCACACTGTGCGTCCCCCCCCACCTTCTCTTTGACTGTATGTATGTGCGTGTGTGTGTGTGTGTGTGTATTCTGTCTCTCGACTCTCTGTCTGTCTCCCCCCCATGTTTATAATTAGTGTTGAGTTGGGTATAAATCTAAATTGTAGATTATGTAACTGGATCTAAATTAAAGTCATACCTTGCTTTTTTCCACTAACATTGGAATGCTATAGAATTTAAAAATATGCACATTTTAAATTATTGTTGTCTAGAGACTGTTTTCAGTATCCAGCTAGCTATTTTAGTTTAATAGAGATAATTCTCAAATATTAATTTAACCTAAATTTATGTTCCCCTTAATGTGTACTACCCATTCTTCCCCATTCACTAGTTTTCAATAAAATTAAGTCCTTACTGTCTTTGCCAAACTACAGGCTTTCTCAGGTGAGTTTAATATTTCATAGTAGAACACAGAGAAATTCAATGCCAGACCAAGGCGAATAGGATGTGTTGGCTGCATCTCCTTCTTGCTGATTTCAAATGCTTCTTGATATGCCTGTTGAGAATTTCCTACTGTTGCTATGAAGAAAGATAAGTATATTTTTAATTCCTCTTCATATGAGAAATGAAGTAATGAAACAAATAATGAAATCTTGAGCAATTAAACTGAATGTTCTTTCACAATTATTTTAGTACAAAAAAGCAAACAAATTTGTTTGTTATATTTTTAGTAGATCCAAAAATATATGTTCCTGGGAAAGACTACTTCAGATTTCCATCCAAGTATTAACCAGGCCCAACTTGCTTAACTGCCAAGCTTAGATATGTTCAGCCAGGTGTTGTCACCTGTTCAGTTGACAGATACAAAATACACAGCCAAGGTGAGATTTTATTANAGGGAATTTTGAAGTCAGTGCATGAATTTTCTTTTCAGCAAACAGTTGAACAGACAGATGGACTCTATAAGCCAAGTGGAATGTCACAAGCAGAGAAACGATATTGAAAAGACCAATAAGAGAAATAGTCTCATCTTTCACTGCATTATTCATGCAACTACTACTGAATTCCAATCTTTGCCTGGACAAATTTGTACATAATTCAACATTATGATCTATATTTCTAAGAAAGTTAAGGAAAATGTTATATATGAGCCCAATTATTTGTTTTGAGCCAGGAGTGGCAAAAACTATAGCAGCAATAGGCCATCTACATCTAAGTGAGACCTGTCCTCCAGTATATTTTACTTTCTACCAATACCAGAAATTAAACCAATTACAGTGAGTTTCTAATTTAAATTACATCAGGAGAGACACAATTTGTACCAAGAACTCAGATATTTAAAGATACAGGTTTCTTTCCTGGAAGGAATTAATGTTTACCTTTTTAAAAACTGGAAAAAAATATTTCATGCAACTATTCTACAGCTAATAAAGCCATAAAAGTAGAACCCAAATTTCATTAATCCACTAGCCTACAAGATAAATGTATAATACATTACTGACCAAAATGATGTTGCCAGTGGCAAGAGCAGGTGGACCATCTGCCCAGAAGCAAGGCCACCATTTTTCTGCCACCATTAATAATTTGCTACTTCGTTTTTCATTTCCCCTTGGCTTTGAATGAAATTTAAGAAAAAGATTAAAATCACATGATCATTTGGCTAAAAAGCAGTGTATCCAGCATCATTATTTAAAAACATAAAGAAAAGAAAAAAAACAAGAAATGTCAGAATGAACATGCCTATTCAATTCACAGAAGTGAGCTTCTGCACTGGAATACCACACAGTAGATTGTTCCCCTTCCATGTTGCAGTATCACAATATAATCTCTATAATTTTCTATACAACTTTACAGCAGAATTGTACTTCAGCAACTTTGATACCAGATTATTATCCTTCCAAGGAATTACATGATTTGTATCTATTCTTTCATCATCTGAGTTTTGTAAAGTCAACTGCAATCGCAAATCCCATAATCACAGTGTTCAGTTAAAAAAATATAAACACGGTAATCATAACTGCAAGTGTTCATAATAGGAAAGGTTCAGAATGCCATTGTTCAACTGATTTCCATTTGACATACACAGAACACCAACCAATTTTTTTTTACCCCACAGACAGTTTGCTACGTTGAGGTTGTGAAGTCGATGTACTATTCTTTTTGCTTGCCGCACAAAGGAATATAATGTGTAGGATACAGTGACATTGAACACATAGTGAAGCACGACAGACTTAGTTTTCACCTTCTCCAGCTTCCCCTTCATCTCCCTGGTTTTCTGATGTCCATAGCTGCAAGAATGTACAAGAATGTTTATGTTAAAGACATGCAGTTAATTTCAATGGTCTAGAAAGTAGATACTGGGCAGTCTATTTTATATTGACTTGGCTTCAGCACAGCACTGAAGAGAAACNGCGCAGAAGCCCCTAAAACCTCAAATATCAGTAAGGAGTGTGGGTGGGTGGGCCCTCCAGGGCACCATACTGGATCGGTACCCGGTGCTCCCAGCAGGCACCGTTACGCCCATACCGGGGTGTACCAGTCATAACCTTCCACTGGTTGTAAGTCATGTACTAACAGCATTTATTATTTTAATCGAGGCCTGCTTTGAACTAGCCAAAGGATGAAATGCTATCCTGCCGCAGCCTGAGGAAATAATTGGAACACTAGTTCAACCTTTGATGAGATACTAGCTTTTAAAAAGACTCTTAAAGTCTTAATATATTCCCCAAATCTTTCCCCCTACTATTACTCTTTAATAGAGAAAAGAGAACAAAGATCAACTTGCCTTCTGAGCATCTTGATGTTTCTCAAAATTGACAAAACCAAATCCTTTTGAGCGGCCAGTATTATCTAACATGACCTTGACACTCAAAGTTTTTCCTGGAAGTAGAACAAAAACTTTTAGGCTAATACTACAAGAAAGAAGACTTTGATGGAGTGCTGAAGCACAATATGCTCAGCTCCATTCATGGATAGTAATGGATACATGCCAATAAGTACCACATTCTTCTATTACATTTAAACTTTTGGCTCACAGAGAAATTTTTCATGTCTTCAAATTCTGCAATAGAAAATTCAAATTTGTTTCATGACAGTTTATGTGACCCAGAGTTGCTTAAATCAATGGCTAGCCATACAAATCAAGTTATTATTTCCTATACACTATAGTCAACTTTGTCATTTTATATATCTTACAATGAAGTCTTCCTCTTACCAAGCGCATCCACTTACTAGATAGCTCATGACAAACAAGTCAGGTGTTCTTCCTATCATTAGAGGGAAAGAATTTCTAATTGATATTGAAAAGGAAGCCATTTTTAAACCAGCTTATGTGTAGCTTTCCATAATTCTGTACCCTCCAAATATAATGGTTATCAGTTTTCATTCCTTAGGGATACTAGACAAATTCAAAAGGATTAGGGGAGATATCTGAACAGCAACAGATGGGGAAAATGTCCCAAAATATATCCTTAAAAACAGATGCAAAATTGTTGTACCCTTATGGCTTAGATTATTATTTCAAATTTTTACTTCACAGTGGAATGTTTTTACCTATGTGGAAGTAGGTTAGATCACACTACTGGCAGTATCTTTTGCACAAAAAAACTGAAGCAGCATCTAAGCCATGGTGGCTCAGTGGATAGAATGGCATATTGCAGGCTAACTCTGCTGACTGCCAGCAGTTCGATCCTGACCAGCTCAAGGTTGACTCAGCCTTCCATTCTTCCAACGTTGGTAAAATGAGTAAAATGTTGGGGGCCATATTCGGACATAGTAAACTCCTCAGAGAATGCTGCAAAGCACTGTAACACAGTATATAAGTCTAAATGCTATTGCTATTCTGCTAAGCTGTTAAACTTATGCTCACAACCCATATTTTATTAACAGTACTTTTCACTGCCACCCTTACCAAATTTTGAGAATATTTCCTGCAGCCTCTCATCAGTCATGTCCTCGCCAAAGTTTTTGATGTAGACATTAGTGAATTCCATTGCTTTGGCTCCATATTCTGCTTCTCGCTCTCGGCGGGACTTAAAGTGGCCAACAAATCTGCAGGGTCAAGACAGGAGATGTGAAACCATCTCTTAAAAGGGTATTGCAGGGCAAAAGAGACCTCCTACTCTCTTTTATTCAGCTGGCAAATCATGCAGCTAGGGCACTTCTTCCTTTCAGGTCTGCAAAGCTAAAGCTTGTCTTCTCAAGTGAATCTTTTAGAAGCCAAATCTTGATAAAATTCAGAAAGGGGCAGGATTGTATGCAGAGGTGGATTCCTGCCAGTTCTAACCTCTTCTATAGAAGAGGTTCCACAAATCTACAGTGCCATTTAGAACCGGTTCCAGCTCCCTCCCCCGGCCATCCACACATCATCAAGATGAAGAACAAGAGGAGGAATTCTGGGAGTTGAAGTCCACAAGTTTAAAAGCTGTCAAGNGCTACATTCAATTACAATCTCCACAGGTACCGGGAGGCAGACTGAAATTGTAGGCCTGGAGGCCACCACAACAGAAGGATGGCAGGGATTTCCTTGGGATTGGAGCCTCATCTTTTGGCCCCACCTCTGCAGGCATGTCCTAGGTCTCAGATGGAATTGAGTTGTTGCTTCTTCTCATTTCACTACTAAAACCATTTGTTCAAAGTTACCACAGCACTGAAAAAAGTGACTTACGATTGGTCTTCGCACATATATGGCTGTTACAGCAACCCTGCATTCAAGTAATCAAAATTCAGGTATTTACAAAGGTTGCAGCATTCCTGAGTGATGTGATTGCCATTTGCAAGCTTCCCAGACAGCCTCCAACAAAGCAAAATCAATGAGGGAAGCTAGATTTGTTTAGCAACCACAGTGATTTGCTTAACAATTGTGGCGAAATGAAATAAAATAAAACTGGACATGACTCACTTAACAAATCCTTTACTTAACAATGGAATCTCTGGTCCCAATTGTAATTGTAAATTGAGAACGACTTGCACTTTCACTGCACAGAACTGATGCAGAGTTGCTACTTGTGTCACCAATTGTAACCACATGAGAACCATAAAGCCTGTACCCATTCTTTGGATTACTTCACTACTAAGCCTTGCTGGGTCTTGAGCTGTTCAGAACCGGGCCGCATAGGTGGTAGTGCAGAGCACATGTGCTTGATTTGTGCGATCAGTGGGCAGACATGGCAGCCGTTCACACAAATGGAGCTGCATGTACACATTTGCCCACGGCTCACGTGGAACCATCTCTCCCCCCCCCCACTCCCCATCCCCGCTAGTCTGCAAAGTCAGAAAGATTGGGGAATTCTGTTTCAAGAAACTGTTATTCTTCAAATAGCCGGTAAGGGAATTAAAAATAGATGGATCTTGTATCAAAGCACATTAGCCTTCAATAGGTCTTGCAGCAGTTTCTATTTTACGGCAAAAAAAATTGTTCTAGTAGACAGCAAAGGGACAGCTATTGTGGGATTAGAAACCAGTTTATGATACCTGTTAAATTCCATGGGGATTAAATGTTCTGAGAAAAAATAATGAAGATTTTGGTTTGGAGAGAGCAAGCGAGGCATAAACTCATGACAAGCGACTAAAAGTTTGCTCAATTTTAAAATCTGAGGACTTGAAGTCTGAATTAATATGCCCTCAACAAATTAATCTTTCTACAATATGATCTTGGAATTTAAAAATTCCCAATTTTGTCATCACAAGCTTAAAATCTATTTTAAAAAATACTGTAGTAAGATAAAAGTGTCAATCAATATGAGAATAACTAAGTACTATATTTGATTTTACACATGCAGAATTGCAAAGGATTTTTAAAGTGGAAACATAGAAAAATATCTAGACTCTATACTATTTGTATACAGGCAGTCCTAAACTTACAATGGCAACTGGGACCCAAATTTCTGTCACTAAGTGATATGTTCATAAAATGTGACCCATTTTGCTTAGCGACAGAAATCACTTCAATACCATTTACTTTAATTAACTGAATCCTGCAGTTCTTAGGTGAGGGAAGGTAACTTCCTACTGCCTTCCCACAATCAAAGACAACGGGGAAACCATCAACAAGTTCACAAGCCCCAGGCCCACAAGCAGTTAAGATGGCTGGTGCCAGGTAGAGGAAGGACCAAGGGGGTGGGAATATTGGGGAGGGTTGAGGATGTGCAAGAGGCACTGTGTGGGTCAGGGAGAATGGGCAAGATGGCATATGGGTCAAGTGCAGATGAGTTGGGAGGAAGGTACATTGGTGGGGGAGACTCACCCCAGTGACTTGCAATCTTCCCTGCTGGCTTCTCCTTTGACTTTCTAGGGAAGCTGGCAGGAAAGGTTGCAAATGGTGATTGTGTGATGGGGGTGGGGTGGGGTTGGGGCTTGGCAACTGATTGGAAAGGCAAACATGTTGTCAACGAACCAAATCGTGATCACATGACCCCAGGGGATGTTGGGATGGTTGGAGCTCCAAGAACCAGTCACAACCACCATTCATTCAATGCTGCCATAACTTCAGTACAGTTGCTGAACTGTCACAGACTACCTATAGTGGCCTAACAGATCCTTTCACAATGGTTAAAAAAAATGGGTGGAGGAAGATGGAGGGAATTAACCTAAGTTTCCGCCTATCTTTAGCTGGGATATCTGGAACAGCACTACTGGAATCCAGTCCCCGTCTGAAAAGGTTACTGTATTTTTGCACTATAAGACATACTGGACCATAAGACGCATATTAGCTTTAGAGGAGGAAAACAAGAAAATTTTTCTCTGCCTCCCAGCATCCATCCAGTATTCATCTGGTAGCATCCTTGCAGCAAACATCAAACAGCCTGGTGTTGTGGCCCACCAGAGGCCTGCGGAGATGGCAGCAGAGTCGGACAGTGAGGAGGTTGGGGAGGAACAAGGGACCAAGTCTTGGAGTCTGGGGAAGGCTCGGACGAGGGCTCTCTGTTGGAGGCAGAGAGGGGGGCAGTGCCATTTGGTAGTTACATACTGCCCCCCGAGCCTCTGGACTCTGTGAGGCAGAAGAACGGTGTGAGCCTGTTCTCAGTGTGTGCATGTGCAGAACTGCCAGAAGGCAAGAACAGTTAAGACAAAAAGGGTGACGCAGGAGTAAGGCTTGAAGATTATTGGCCCCTCCCATAAGACATAATACAGGAGCAAAGGCATGTGAGCCTTTGCGAAAAGCAATTAGTTCATCTAATCTGTTCAAGCTCTGAGAAGTCCTGTTTGATTCTGTGCTATGTTTGACCTTGCAACTCAGACAGACATCTGTCGGACTCTTTACAGACTGTTTGTGAATGATTATGGGCTGTGAATGACCATAATTCACAACCGTTTAAATAAAAGAGGGTTTGGGGATTAAGATTGTGATTTATGCTTTCTCAGGAAGCCTAGTTCAAAAACACCTGGTCAGCTTCAGCACATTGCAGCCCCAGCCCATGGCTTCTCAGGGCTCTGCTCCATTGCGCCCACTATCAGTCAACTGAGCTGAGCTACTGCCACCACTGGGGAACACTGGAGCCTTCGCTGCTGAGCAGCTGATTGGCGGTTGGATTGGCCTCCCAGAATACCACTGATCACCTTTCTAGGAGGCAGGGATACTCACCTCCTAGAACAGCTGATTGGTGGTATTCTGGGAGGCCAATCCAACCATCAATCAGCTGCTCAGCAGCGAAGGCTGCAGTGGTAATAGGCGGCAAATGCCGCTCTTGCACCAACCCTCCTTGACCCCACTGCTATATTTGCTCTATAAGACACATAGACATTTCCACCCACTTTTTTTTGGGGGGGGAGTGTGTCTTGTAGTGCAAAAAATATGGTATATACTAAAATATCAATAACTTAGTGAAAAGAACATCCCCACACATTAAACTAACATATGCACAGCCCACTTTATTCCAAGATTTTAAGGTACATGAGGTTTAAGGTTTCTATAAATACATACAGGAAGCATATTTCATTCCATACATCTGTGCCTTTACAGGGTTAAGATGTGGAGTACAAGAACAACAAGTGACTCATGCTTTCTTCTTCCCACATATCTTTTAAGATTTGAACACTTGAAGTAAAATGAAATAAAAATGTTTGGAGTAAAACATTCACATTTTCTCTTGTGGTCAAATCTCAACTCTTCTTTCATGGAGCACTGGTTAGCTTGGAAAACATAAATGAAAGTCACTTCTTCCCTATATTTCGACACTCCTGAGTCAATTGGTAAGTAGAAATGTTGGGATAACCCTTTAAAATGTTATCTATAGTTCTTGTAGAACATCACCCTACCATATAAGATATGTCACTTACTTTGCTTGTTGTCCCCAGATGCCACCTCTGAAAGGTATCTGTAGTAATCGCCTTTCATTTTCAAATAGAAGACTTTACTTTCTGCTTGTGTGGAATTAGCAATAAGGAACTTATCTAAGAGTTCCTGAAAAACAAATTAGCCATACAATTAAGAATGCTATTTCTTCAATTTATCATTATTTATTGAGATGAATTTTAGCAAATAATTTTCTGATGCTTTGTTTGGTTAAGAATGAGTAATAATGTCCTCAACGCAAGCTACACTTATACAAAGTAAAAATGCTCACCAAATAAAAATATGGACATTCAAGTCCTGCTTATTAATGAATGGACACATACAGACAAAACCTCTCCCTCCAGAAAAATGAGCAAACATATCTAACAAAGGCAAATAATTAGTAAGTCTAATTAATAAACAAGATAATCAAAGCAACTTTAACTACATTGAGACTAATGGTTCAAATTCAAGGTTAATAAGAGAATAGGCAGCCATATAAATAATTTCACCTACAGTATCTGCTAGTAACATTTAGAGTAACCTACCATAGCAAGCACAACTAGCAGTTTTTACTGACTTATCAGAAATGGAATATAAGTAAAATGACATTCATGTAAATGTACAACAACAGGTTACACTTCCCATTCATTTTGCTAACCAGCCCAACTCACTTTCAGAGCCATTAGCTAAGTTCATAAAAGTTCACTCTTTAGAGGGAGAATAAAATATAAACAAGGGCAAAGCTGCGGATTAGCAATATTTCCTTTGGGAAAATATCTGGATAGGAGGGTCTCCTATTCCTACTACAGAAAAAGGACATTTACAGCAAATCCATTGTTTTATTTACCTACAATGGAAGAAAGTATCAAACAGTGGAGCATACAAAAGTAATCCTAAATAGTAGAAGAATCTTAAGGCCTAGCTATTGGGAGGAACTATGCTTTGCAGGATTGTTCAGCCAAACATGACTTCAAAAGAAGTATAAATATTTAACTTCTAGTTAGTAGTTGCAGTTGCAAACTATCCGTCATGGAGCTATACATGTGTGCAGTGCATAGACCAAAAATCAGCAAATAATAATGTACCACAAAAATATAAAATCACAATATAAAGAAAATAGTATCTAGGATAAAAGCCTATGATATACAATAAAATCAAAATGTGTATATTCAATACAAGCTGAAACCCAGTCAACCCCTAAAATGGATTATTTTAATAGCTTTATAAGGTCTAAGAAAAAGAAGCACATTGGCACTTTCAAAATAGTTTGACAAACAATCTACAAACAGCGTGTAATACCACACAGCCACCTTGCAGGTATCTCCTAGAGGAATATTAAAAGTAATAAAGTTGATAGCACTTCATCTAGAATTAGACATGACCCTCTCTGGAACATGACTGAACTCCATAGATAGGATAAATAGCATAACACAGCAGGGTTAATGGCATGGAAACTCTGTAACCAAGGGCTGTTTGTTTCAAGGACATACAGAGGTTGTCAATGAGTCTGAATTAAAAGGTTCTGGTCTGGTAGCCTTTTACAGCTACAGAACATCCATTTTGTTGGGTCATGTTTTTTCTAACAGTGACTCAATCTATAGCAAATGATGGGAGCTAATTTCAATGAAAACAAGACATAACCTTTGACACTACTCTGTAATCCAGCAATAAGGTTGGGGGACACTTAAATATACTATAAGAAGTGCTGAAATACAGATTGCTACTAGACTCTTACCAGAACATCATTGCATATGTCCTGCAACTCAGCCTCAATCTTCTCACGATATTCTTTTCCCATCTGCTGTTTTTTCTCGTTTCGTTCTGTCTTCTGTTCAATGCTGGAAATGACACGCCAAGAAGAACGACGAGCACCAACCACATTTTTGTAGGCAACAGAGAGTAGGTTCCTTTCTTCGTTGGACAGCTCATGACCCTGCTCAGTGACAGCCTTCATGGCAGCAGCCATATCATCATAGCGTTCTGCCTGCTCAGCCAATTTGGCCTTCTGTACAAGCTCACTTTTATCCATCGTTATTCCTAAAGAGTAGGAAAAAGTTGTATATAATGTGTATTTCCTATTCTATTCACATCCCACAAATCTATAGAAAAATATTTTAATAGTAAAAGCAATATATTTTTTATGTCTGATACAAAAAATGAGAAATTTGTTCTTCTCTAGTATGGAAATTACACTGAGAGGGGAGTTTCCCAGACAAGAAATAAAACCTACCATCAAGCCTGAAAAATGAGAATAAAAGTGTCCATTAAATCCTGGGAAATGAAAAAGGGAAAAGGATAAAAAAGGACTGGATTTGAAATTGTCATCTCATATTGACAGACAATAGTCAAGTGTTTAAAATAATGTAATCCTAGTGTGCAATAAAAATCCATAGACAAAAGAGAACCAGACAAATAAGGATTTTTTTAAAAAAAACATTGTGTAATAGATCAATTTCTCTAATCATTACTTTTACACCCCGTAAATGTTTTTATCATAACCACATTTCCAAGAATTTTATTTCACTTCCAACTATTTGCTAGGATAATCAGATCCAGCACTATAGTTAAAAGAAGAGATTAGTGCCAGCTTGCTGTGAATTGGAATCTAACTGGGTTTTAAAATCAGAGCACAAGGTAACTGAAAAACAAACCTAATTAATAGCAGATACCCTACAATGACAAAGTGACCCGCCTTCTTTCTGTAACCTTATGGACTCAACTTTATATGCAAGTGATGGAAATACAGAACAGTCAGAAAAGATGCCTGGATTTGTGTCCAAAGTATTAAAGGAAAAACAGAACCAGACTGAAATGCAGAAAGCCTTATATTATTCATATCCACTGTGACCTATTCTTCTTTGTTCCAATTTCATATTAGATGCTATAGCACCAGGAGATAGAATTTCTTACTAAAAGGTATATGTACCGGTATAGGCACAAAGTATTGCATTCTAAATTTGAAGATGGTATTAAAGGTTCTATTTTTCTGTCCTACAATTAGTGCAACACTATGGGAGTCATTATGCTATATAAATAAGATGAATAAAAGAATAAATAAACCTCAAACTTGTAACTGTCTCATTCTTAAGCCTTTCCTAAATCTCTGCAAATACTTAAAAAACCATTTCTATGAATCTCTTATAACCACAAATAAAAGAGACACAAAGATGGATATTGTTCTTAATGCAATACTTTCTAGCAGCAGGAAGATAACTTTCAAAATTTTGTTTTGACAAGCAGCAGAACTCAACAATCTTTGACACAGAGCTCAATCTGAATCATGGATAATATAACCGTAACTTCAAATCAATCACAACATTTTAAACTCTATTAACCCCAGATATTGAATTGTCTCAAATTGTACCTGGAAGATAATTCATTATCCCTTCTCAGCTTCCTGAAGTCACTCTGCAATTAGCGGATTCTCCAGAACAGACTTAGACTACATGTAGCAAAACTACTCAGCTAAATAATGCATGTAGTCTTTTATGATTAAATATTGCTCATTTGAACAAACCTCCTCTGAAATAATCCATAAATACATAAAACTTCTAATCCAACTTTTTGTTCCTCAATTAGTCATATAACTTGAATATCAAAGAATGAATGGAAGAAATTACTCCTCAGAAACTAGGCCAATTAAAAGAACATCTTAAAATCAACTTCACCTGCATCTATATATGCAGCAAGTAAATAAAGTGGCATTCAGAAATTTAATTAAGGGATCCAAACAGGAAATGCTGTAACAGTCAGTCACCGATATAACAGGTCATCAGAATTTAAGGCTATCTCATAATAGAATGCAACATATTTGCTACCTATTTTAAGAGAAAAAATGGTAGCTAATAGATATCCCAATTGTCCTTTCTGCTAAGTTGGGAGTACAAAACCAAAATAGGAATTTCCAGAAGACTAAAGCTTGCTAGACACTAGAAATAGTTAAAGCAATTAAGGCTTATCATTTCCCTTACATTGAAGAAAACAAAGATGAATTGATTGTTCACAAGCATGGCTGTTTATGTCTATGAATATTATTCTCAGTCATCCAGGTCATGATTGTTCCAAAAGTGCTATTTCAAAAGCCAGGTGGACTTTGTTTTTCCTTGAAGACATTTCACTTCTCACCCAAGAAACTGAACAAGCTTCTTGGATGAGAAGCAAAACATCTACAAGGAAAAACAAGTCCAGCTGTCTTTTGAAAAAGCACCTTTGGGACATGGCTCTTTATACCTTATTCCAGGGTAATTACTTTTCTTCTGATTTATATAATGCATGAAATCAACTACAGAAGCAAAAAATAAACCATTCTATTATCAAAGGACAATTTCATATTTTCAAAATGACAAATATGACATATTACTTAAATTGTTATTGGTTGCTTAATGATTACATTTGTGCCATTCTTCCTCAGGCAGAAAGTATGATTAAGTGGTACTACTTCTGGCAAAAGGATATGAATGACCAGGTAGTGTTGTTTAATCAAAAGAAATGAACTTAGTAGAGATATTTTTAAAATGCTTAATTTCATGTTTTACAGGACTTCCGGCACTTATTAAACTTTATATTTTATGGTGATAATAGGTCTATACCCAATATATTTATAACAGAATTTGTTATAAATTTGTTATAAGAGGCTGGAGACAATGCATTCCTTCAAAAGATTGGTGGGGTGTGTGTGTTACTTTAAGAAGCTACATGGGGCTAAATAAGTAAAGGAACAGTCTGAAAAATGGGAAAGTGTTTGGAAAGAACTCTGAACAATGACTCAAAACTTTGGTATTGCAACTGATTATAGGAGCTTTTGAAGATAAGTTAACAGTTTCAACTGTAAAAATATCATTTGTGGTATTTTATTGGTTGGGTTCACATAATTTATTGAGCCATTATCTAATCTGCTTGATTTTGGATTACCACACTACTGAATTATATATTAAACAAATTATGTTAGAAACTAAATTGGAACAGGCATTAAGTTCCTTATATCCAACAATCAGATCAATACAAAAATCCAAATTAAGCATTTCAGACAACACTCTCTAAGTGTTGCTAAGAATGTTATCTGAAAACATTCAATGGATCCCACTGCCTATCTGCCTAAATGGTTCCACTATTCTTTTAAAATGTTATGCTGCCAAGCCTTTTAGATTTATGGCAGATTACAACTGCATAGAAATACTGTATAGTATACTAAAATTTGGGGGGGGGGGGGGGTTACAAAATTTAAGTTGTTTTAATTATGGGTAATTGGACACTTGTTTATTTTTAGATATTGAAGAGATCCTAATTTTCTTAAGAACCAAATTCAATCAAAATTGAATAGCAAGACAAGTATCTCTCCAACTGTCAGTTATTACCATTAGATCACAGGTGCTAGAAATCAGTTATGAATTTAGGAAATTCGTTTGCAACAAACAAGAAAGAGAAAAGGGGGAAGAGAAAGAAAAGCTTTAAAAACAAATGATAAATATAATTCCCTTTATAATTCAGGCATGGTCATGCTGATGCAAGACCAACAGCAGCATTGACAGATACTGCACATTATGTGATGCTCTCCCAACAGGCTGTATCAGCTGGTGGAGACTTTTCAGGGAATGCAACAGTAGTACATCCTTGGGGCCTATGTATTCTAATAGTGTAGCAATACATCACTTGCTCTTTATGGAAGAACAAGTTTCCACATATACTGTGTGTCTTTTCATCACCATAAGCAAGTGAATAATTAACCCATCTTACAAAATGGATAGTAGTCCACAATATTTTGTTAGCTTACAATGCCAGCATCAGCATCAAAACAAGCATGTCTTTCTATATATAGTATATTATGCTAATTGATAACTGCACAAACAAGTTATAAATTTCTCTTGGCAACTATATGGTAGCAGTTTGACAATGTCTTCTTCCAGGATGCTTTCCGATCTTTAAGTCTAACCTACAGGTCTAAGATTCTTTGGTAGACTTCCACCCAGTACTAACCAGGGCCAACCCTGCTTGGTTTCTGAACATAGAAAAGACCAGCTAAGTGCTAGCATCTCCCAAGACTATAATAGACCCCCCAAGGCTCTATTGTAGATGATATGGGCTTTCATTTCAGATTACACAAAGTGGAGGCTTCCCATGGGAAAGCTCAATTGTGGTGATTTCCAAAAAAACAAAAAAATTCTGGAGCAAGTGCAACCTTTAAAACCATGGCTCCTCAGATTTCCTCACTAGGATCTCTCACCCCCACAGATCCAATTGTTTTATCATTCCAACCCAGCTGGGAAAAGACCTCCCCCGGATTGCTCAGAACCACGGATCCAGGCTCCATTCCTTTTTCCTAATGGAAATCCCGAACCGATAAACCCAGAGCGGGTCTACCTGGGAGTCTAATTGTGTCATTTAAGTCATTTTAAGGAACTGGGATCCTATCGCTCCAGGTGGTGACACACACACACACACACACACACACACACACAGCGAGTAGGGCAGGCAGAAGGGTTGCGTTGAAAGGAGAGGCCCGCCCTCCACTTTCTTCTGCAGCCGCAGCGTGGCCTCTCCCCAGAAGCTCCGCCGTGAACCCCGTCCCAGGTTCGTTACGCACAGGTGAGCACGCCCATGCCCGGGTAGCAGCAGCGGCAGGAGGTGGTGACTCAGCCAGGGCGTGGCGCTCCCAAGCTAGCTAGGTGACCCCTCCCCGAGAAGCCTCGCTCCAGCAGCGGAACAGGAGCAAAAGCAGCGCGCCAAGAGCCGCCGATTCCCCGCCTCCCCTCCGCTCCGGGCAGTCTCGGAGGGGAGGAAGCGCGGCGGAAGATCGACCTCGCTTCGGCGTCTCGGGAAGAGGGCATCCCAGAGCGGGATCAAGTAGCCGGAACCGAGCAGGCCTCGGTTCCGCTCACCGCCCTCCCTCCCTTCGGCTATGTGGGGGGACGGAGGGCAAAGCTCAGCGGCGAGGATCGGGGGGGGGGGAAGGAGAGACTTTTGGCGGGATAGCGCTCACCTGACGGGGTGCGACCGCCTCAAAACGAGAGGGACGTTGGGGCCTCGGATAGCGGGCGAAGCGAGCGTTGTCGGCGCGCGAGCCACCCGCTTCCCTCTTATCACACTTACACACCCTGCGGCTCCTGCGGCTACTTCCGCCGCGGGGGTCACGCCTTTTCCGGCGCGGACACTCCTCTCCTTCCTCCCCGCCCCTTTGCCTTGTCCGCTCAGCCCATTGGGCGAACCGGACCGCGGAAAGGAGTGGGCCGGCGGCAGGAGAGGCGAGGTGGCGCCGTCGTTAAGGGCAACGGGCGTGTGCACGTGCAGGTCTGCTCTTGAGGGGGGGGAGGGAAGGGAGAGGAGATGGGTTTTTCCAACGAAGGGTCTCCCCTCCCGCTGGACAGTCAGGTCCTCGGGCGCCGCAAGGCTCTCATTCGTTTGGCACCGCCGTTACTTTGGTTCGGCCCAGCCCCCCTCCTTGGCCCTCAGGTATAGGATTTTCTGAAAGATACTAAAGGAGAACCAAAGGTTGGAGGGGGGGAGATGTGCGCTCCCCTTTTTTCCTTTCCCGATGGTAGCTTCCTCTTCTTCCTGGGCGGGTTTGCAGCTGCACCTCGCAGTCGATTCCAAACGGAACTGAAAGGTGGGGCTTGCGGAGATCCGGGGAGCGAGAATGGAAAATCACCAGAGCGGCCACTAGAGGGCAGCAAAGGGAGCCAGGAAACGCCAACCTCTTGGCGTTCCTCTGAATTTCTGCAACCCAGTATTTTGTGGCTTCTAGTATTAATGCCACCTATTCTTCCCCACTTCTGTTCCTCCCAGCGGCTGCTTGGATGTGTAGATCTCCAAAGCAGTTTTCCTCTCTCAAATGCAACTACTTTAAAGAAAAGACTGGACGGTCACTTATCTGAAATGATATAGGATCTTCTGTTTGAGCAGGGGGATGGACTAGAAGATCTCCAAGATCCCTGGTTTACTTTTTCGCCTATGGCTCCATGGGATAGGGAAGTTTCTTTGGCAAGCTTTGCCTTCCGGGCCAGAGAGCTCCTGGAGAAGATGAAAGATGACGAAGATTTTCCTTTTTGCTGGGGCTTCTAATAAAGGAATCTTTGAGTTAACTTCAGAGGCTTTGTTGTGTCTGGAGAGCTGGGTCAGAACAGGCTAGTGTTAGGCTTTAGACGATGGGTGTCAAACTCGTGGCCTCACGTTGCCGTGTTGTGACATTCCATGATGTTTTCCCCATTTGGGGAGCTGAAGTGGCGTGGCTTGTGAGTGACATCTGGCCCACGGGCCGCCAGTCTGATACCCCTGCTTTAGGCATATTAAAATAATGCAACAAAACAAGAATGTCAGAATGGGGGTTAAAAAAAATATCAAGATATTGGCCACACAATCGCACAGTCACAACAGCTGTCTGCCCAAATGAGTTCAAATTACTGGAACCTGATGAATTACATCCCAGAGTTTGGAAGGAACTGGCAAGTGTGGTCTTGGAACCACTGAAACATATATTTCAAAGATCCTGGAGAACCAGGGAACTACCAGAGGACTGGAAAAGACAGATATGGTTCCCATCTTGAAAAACAAGAAAAAAAAACAGATCCAGGAAATGCAGACCAATCAGCCTGACATCCATACCTGGGAAGATCCTGGAAAAGATAATGAAGCAACAAATCTGCAAACTAGAAGCAAGTAAAGTTGTAATCGGAAGCCAACATGGATTCGTCAAAAACAGATCATGCCAAACAAATCTTACTTCATTCTATGACAAAGTGGACAAAATTAGTGGACCAACGAAATGTTGTGAAGATAATATACTTGGATTTCAGTAAGGAATTTGACAAAGTAGACCTCAACCTACTTCTTGGTAAGCTAGAAAAATGTAGGATAGACAGCATCACCACCAGATGGATCAGTGGTGGATTGCAGGTGGTATGCCCCGGTACGAGTGTACCGGAGCCTGCCTGGAGCACTGGGTACCGTTCCAGTACGGTGCTCCAGAGGGCCCACCTGCCTGCCCGAGCTCCTTACCTGTCCCTTAAGTCTTTGGCGCTTCCGTGCACGTGCATGGCACGTACAGCGCCTATGCAACGCTCTGCTGAGCAGCTGGAGCGTTGTGGAGGCTTGCGGAGGTGTCGCAGGCAGGTATGATGCATGCGCACACTGCACATGTGTGCACATGCATGCATCCATGTGGGCAATGCCGGGCCCGTTCCAACCGTACCAGTTGGAACGGAATCCAGAACCCACCACTGAGATGGATTTGTAACTGGCTGACAAACCATACTCAATGAGTAGTCCTTAATGGAACTACATAACTACATGGAGGGAAGTAAGCAGTGGAGTACCCCAAGGTTCCATTTTAATGCCCAGAACTCTTCAATATATTCATAAATTATTTAGATGACAGACTAGAAGGGGAACTCATCAAATTTTCAGATAACACTAAACTGGCAGGAATAGCTATCATCCTAGAAAGTAGGCTCAAGATTCAGATGAATTGAAAACTGGACCCTATCAAACAAAATGAGATTCAGTGTAGAAAAAACTAAGGTTTTACAATTCAGCAAGAAAAATGAAATATACAAGCACATAATATATGTGAAACCTGGCTCAATAGCAGTAACTGTGAGTGGGATCTTGGAGGCCTACTTGACAATCACTTAAATATGAGCCAGCAGTGTGCAGCAGCAGCAACAACAACAACAAAAACCTAATGCAGTCTTTAAGTTGCATTAACACAGGAATAGAATCAAGATCATGTGAAATATTAGTACAACTTTATAAAGCCTTAGTAAGACTACATTTGGAATACTGCATTCTGGTTTGGTGACCACAATATAGAAAAGATGGTGTGACTGTAGAAAGAGCCCATACAAGAACAACAAAGATGATTAGGGGACTGGCGGCTAAAACATGAACAATTGCAGGAATTGGGTGTGACTAGTCTAGTTAAAAGAAGGATGGAATGACACGAAAGTAATGTTCCAGTATATGGGTGGCTGCCACAAAGAAGAAGTGGTCAACCTATTTCCCAAAACACCAGAAGGCAAGACAAGAAAAAAATGGATGGAAACTAATCAAGGACAGAAACAATCTAGAACTAAGGAGGAATTTCCTAACCATAAAAAGAGTTAACTAGTAGAATGGCTTGCCTTCACTAGTTAACTCTTTTTATGGTTAGAAAATTCCTGGAGGCTTTTAAGAAGAAACAAATAACCACTTGTCTGGAATGGTATAGGATGACCTGGTTGAGATCTTATACCTTGGTGTAGAAGACCTCCAAGGCCGCTTCCAACTATGTTATTCTGAATAAATATAACAATATAACAGAATACAGAGTTGGAAGGGACCTTGGAGGTCTTCTAGCTTAATCTGCTCAACCAGGAGACCCTGTACCAGTGTTAGCAAACCTTTTTGGCACTGGGTGCCGAAATGGGAGTGCACGCACGCACACACACATACCAGAAACCGGAAAAGTAGTTGTTCGGTGGGCATGCACATGCTAGGAAAATGATCTTCCGTTCTCTGGCACACGCATGCGCCCTGGCCAGCTGGTCTTCGCGCACACATCCATGTCAGAAACCGGAAGACCAGGTGGCTGGTGTGCATGCATGCACTGAAACCAGAAGGGCAGCTGTGCGCACCACGTGGCTGCTCTTCTGATTTCCAGCACTCCTGTGCATGAAGACCCTCCTGGCTGTCACACCAGAACCCGGAAGAGCAACGGTTGATGGTGTGCCTGGAAAGATGGCTCGGCGTGCCACTTCTGGCACGCGTGCCATAAGTTTGCTATCACAGCCCTCTACTATTCCAGACAAGTGGCTATCCATCTCTTCTTAAAAGCCTCCAGTGATGGAGCACATACAACTTCTGAAGGCAAACTGTTTCACTGGTTAATTGTTCACATTGCAGATTGCAAACTGAATATGTTAGCTGTGCAGTATAGTTGCAAAAAAAAAAAAAGAGCAAATCTAGCTTTGAACAGGATCACTGGAGACCACTGTCCTACGGTATTGATGTGATTCAGTGCAGGGATTATGTCTTGTTTAGTCCTTCAGGAGCTTTAGGGAAAACAGGCTCAGAGAAGGATTAGGAGGAAAATCAAGAGAATGAAAACTAACTTCTATGAAACACCAAAGGAACTGAAACTGTTTAACTGTTTAAGTCTAAAGTGGATGGATGGAATATTAGGACATTATTGGTCAAGGGTGTGAAAGAATATGAAGGTTAAGCTCTGTTGCCCATCATTGCAAAGTATAGAATGCAAAGTCATGGGTTCTATTCACAGGAAGATAAATTATAATTGAAGAAACATTGCAAAATAAGTTTGACAACGAAATCTTACAGGGAAAGGTAGTTGAGTCTCTTCTTTGATCCTGTTTTTTTTTTTAAATTAACAGCTGGAACAGAAGCTGCTTTAACAAGTAAACTCTTGTTATTTACTCTTGTGGAGTTGTGAGATACCAAACTTCACACTCTTGCTTCAATTAGATAATTTATTTCCCATTTTTGTCTTAGCTAGGAGACCAATACCCATACCCAGATCCTTAGGAATCTAGGTAATTATCATTAATCAGAGGTGGTATTCAGCAGGTTCTGACCAGTTCTAGAGAACTGGTAACAGAAGTTTCGAGTAATTCAGAGAACCGGTAAATGCCACCTCTGACTGGCCCCATCCCCATCTATTCTCTGCCTCCAGCTAATCAGGAAGAAAAGGGGTTTTGCAGTAACCTTTCCCAGGGGTGGGGTGGGAATGTACATTTTACAGTATCCTCCTCCTGCCACGCCTACCAAGCCACGCCTACCAAGCCACGCCTACCAAGCCAAGCCATGCCCACAGAACCGGTAGTAAAAAAAATGTGAATCCCACCACTGTCATTAATATATGACTTTGCATAAAGTAAGCAACAACTGGGAGTTGGGGGGAAAATATTTTGAGATTTTGAAGGGCTATAAAACCTGCCCAGTGAAAGCAACCCCTTGGTGAATTGTTTCCATGGAAGACCATCCTTGCTGTTCATGCTCACTGTGGTTGCCTGGGAATGGACGTGTTTCACACTATAAGTATAAGGGCCTTTTAAAGAAATCTTCATTTATTGTAAGCATCTTGGTATCGTCTTTGGGGTTCGCCTGTTTTGGTATCCAATCCATAAACATAG